TATTTGTTCTACCAAAGTATACAAATGCACCTACATTAAGCTCCAGATCCATATTCCTCTTTGCATCCAGAATGTGGTGGTGTGAGTTGTTATGGACGGTTCTTGTTCTGGCCATGTAAAGCTTCTACTTCATGAACTGTACTGGGTACCAGCAGTGTTCTGGATACAATTCAAGGTGTTGGTTTCATCTGTTAAGCTCTTCATAACTTAGGTCTTGGAGATGTACAGGACCACCTTTCTCCTGTTGTTTTTGCCCAATCATAGATCTGACAGAGTTGTAAAGTGATGTCATCTTGTGGGATGGAGCAGCTAGGCCTTCTTTGTGCAATGAGGTCTGTATGGCCCCAACCTGTTGTGGTTTTACAAATTTTTAAAAACCTGGCTTTTGGGGTTCCTTCTCTAAGGATGTTTTCTATAATGGGAAACAACAGAGATTGATTGGGAGGTATATAATCTTATTAATAAAAGTAAACAAATAAGTTTCACTTCGGTCTGGTATGTTACACAAATGTAGCCACTGTGGTTTGGAAGATATGGCATTATGCTTGAACCAGACCACTGTAGTTATTTCACAAGCTATGGTTAAGCAAAGTATGGCTTACTACAAAGTGTGTTGTCAGTCATTCTGTGACTACTTTAGTGGCTGGTGACTTTAAAAAAAAATCATGGATTTTAAACCTCTATATTGTAAACTGCCTGGTAATTATTTTGTACAGAGGTGTAATAAAGTGCATGGTACATGGTGAAAGAACTGGACAATTCTTTCTTTTGGGAGGAAAGCAGTCAACTCAATGAACTGTACTAAAACGTTATCTGGCTTCTTCAGTTTTTCTGGCTATCTAGGACCCCACTCTGCTGCTCCATTTGTGTAGGGTTGGGGGTGCTACATTGAGATGTGTGCGTGTGTGTGCATTTGTGTGTGTGTGTGTGAGAGAGAGAGAGAGAGAGATTTCACCTCCATGTGAATGTCGAGAGATGAATAATTCATTTGGCTAGGATTTTCTTGCTGTGCAAAATAAATTTCCCATGTTACTGCGGAAGTGCTTCTATTTTTCCTGCTGCTAGAGTGGAATCTGAACACAGTGAAAGCAGAAAGAGCTAGCCAGGAGAGCCATCATCTAATGAATTTTATTATATTTTATTTTAGGGGGATTTTCAGGTGCAGGGTACATTTTCCACTCAGCAAAGTTAAACTGGTAAGTGTCCCTCTTCCTCTCTCCCCATCTCCCAGTTTCTTCGCAGGCTTTTGGCTTGTTTTAATCCTTGTGTTCTCAGGCAAGCCTCTTTTTCTTTCAAATGAAGAAACTTTCACAGCTTTGGGTTATGAGAAGCACCGGATGAGATATCGCATTTGTTGGTTTTCTGTGATGTTAGACTGGGGGTTGGGGGCACAGTTTTGAGTTCTCTCTTAATTGTCCCAGAAAATAGAAAGCCAGAACAAGAGGCAAAGAACTGCTATTCTCTTTCTCTCTCTCCACCAGTCACCTGAAATAATCTGATTCATTTTACCACATCCTCATTATCTTACATTCTATGGAATCTAAATAGGTAGCATTTATCTTAACATAGGAATGAGACCAGGAGATCAGGGTTTTCTTTCTCATTCCCAGGTTATCCTCCCTTTGTTTGCTCTCACATGTACGAGCAAGTAAGCTACAGAGGAAGCAATAAAGCAGAGAGGATATAAGGGCCAGAGAAAAACAAGAAGGATTGTTAGAGAACTTAGAGCAACCTTGTCTTTCAATTTAAAAGTGGATTTAAAGTTGTAGGGGAAGTCTCTGGATGTTTTGCACACTGAAAAACATTTGGGATATGGTTTGAAAGAAAAACCATGTCATCGCCAACGTCCTTGCATTTTCTTCATTTGTAGCTGATTCCCTGCTTGAACATTCTACCGCTGGCAGAGGTATCTTTAAGAGTAACAAAACGTCTCTTCCTTGCAAGAAGCTGCAGTGATAAGGTATCCTTTGTCTGTTTACCCTTTACTACTTGTGGTGAGGCCACAAAAGTCCTACTGGGGGGGGGGGCCCTAAGTTGCTTTAAGCTTTGTCTTTCACTATACATTGGCAATAATGCATTATGGGCCATCCAGTCATTGCTTTCATCTTTTGGTCACTACCTTGGAATTTATCTTCTTTTCTTCCATGTTATTCTCATGGCAGAAGTGATCTGTTTAGCCAGAAAGAACCAGAACAGAATGATTACTTTTCTTAAGTGTTGTCCTGTACCACTTCTGTCCTCTTACGTTTGGAGGAAAGGATGGTTTTGACATCTGCAATGAAGGCCTTCTTTCTGATTCCTTCCCTCTTCACCCCTTCCTCTAATCACACCAATCATTAATAGCAGGCACTCCAGGGTTGTGTATACCAGTACCCCCACCTTTTTTCCCCCCCCTAATAGTATGAAGTGGCTATTTTGACATTTCTGCAAAGGTTTCCCATATTTCACAGCAAAAATTCAGAAACTAGAGGTACTTTTGCCATGTAGTGAAAGGAAGCCTCACAATTTGCTTCTCGGGCTGCAACTATGCACGGATTTCCTGCTTGAAGCCCAGAGCCTGGGGGTTGGCAATGCAATAATTTCTTTCTTCAGAATGAGAGGCAGCATCAGGGGGAAGTCTGCGTTTCCAATATCATGTTGAATTAGCTAATCAATATGCCATCTTTATGTTGAGAGAAGAGGTCATCATATATTAAAGAAATAGGACTTATGTGACAGTGGTGACCCTCTGCAGTGGAAAGAGAGTTCTCTATCTGAACTACAGCTCTCTAGGGATAGTCCTTTTACATTTTATTCTGCTTTAACTGATCTTTTGAATCTTGCTGTTTAAAAAAGGGAAGTTTCCTTTACATTGAACTCAACTTCTGGTGATTACACAGACATACCAGGTAGTTTCTTGCAATAATATGGAAGTATTGCCTTCTGTCTCCCCCCCCCCCCCAAACCCCCAAGTCTCATCTAAAGTCCTGAGCTTTCCTGTATGGCTACCATTCAGGTTCCAACCAGGGCCAATCCTGCCTAGTTTTTAAAGATCAGGCAAAGTCATCTTGGTATTGCCATCTCAGCAGGCATTCTTGTTGAATTGTCGCTGCAAATAACAGCTTCCTATGATAAAAAACATAGAAATTCTGTTAGGATTCAGCAACTAAATATTAATGGCCCTACTTTAATACATTACTTTAGTTTAATTTTAAATAGGTGTCTGTGCATTAATATAGAGCATTTGCATATGTGATCACAAGTACTGATATGGATGGATATCTTTGCAATAAAACATTTAGCAGAAAGAAATAATACAAACTTTATATTGCAGTTCCAATATCAATCAAAGTTGGAAAGGCACTATCATAGAATCAATCAATCATTGTGGGGAGATGGGCGGGGACAAGTCCAATAGATAGATAGATAGATAGATAGATAGATAGATAGATA